CTGGATTTTAAAATCAGATGAAAACGGGCATGCAGGGAATCAGTGACACTGATGTTAAGTTCAGCTCTTTAGCCCTCGCCTTTAACTTTCTTCGCAGTGTTGACAGCATTTTGTATCTTTGGTGTATTTCTTAGCTCCAGGTAGTGTTACTGCCTAATACTTGGGTGCTGAAGGATGTGAGTCACTATGCCAAGGCTGTCTTCCACTCTCCTCAACTTAACAGGTGCCTGCAGACCTTTCTGCAGGGTGGGAACAGCCAGGATTATGCGTGTTTGTTCGTGTCCTTGGTAGCAAAGAATTACTTACAATGCAAGCGGGATTCTTCCCACTGTGAGCAATGTGCCTATTGAGCAGTACTTTGGTATTTAGCCAAACAGATGGATTTAACAAATAAGCGGGAGGAGGAAGTAGTGAGGCTTTTTGTTTGTTTTTTAAACAAAACAAAAAGTTACTTAGATGTCAGTTACTTTTATTTTACTATTTTTTTACTTGTTGGCCTGTCTGTGCCTTTTGTGTTGCATCTCAGTAGATACACCGTATCAGTCAGTAATCACTGACTTTCAAGATCAGTTTTCTGCTGTTTGTACCAGTGGGAGAGAGAGAAGTGAAGTTGTGCCAGAAATGTTTTCAGTAATGCCAAGTCTTTCTGTCAGATGGTAACTATTTTCTCTGTAGGCTTCAGTCCTGCAAACAGAAAAGATGTGTTCGGAATGAATCTCAACTAGCACCTGCTGAGGCATGTGAATGTACTTGTTCAGAACTGGTTTGTGTTGCTCCTTGGCCCTTGGTGTGGGAGCACCCCCGAAGCATTCTCATGAAAGCTTATGCCTCTTATGATTTGCTTTATGGTGTTTGCTTTCTGTTCTGAGATGAGAGGATTGCTTTCTGAAGGGTTTGTTTCCTGGAAAGACTTCTAGAAACTTGGTGGGCCCTGGAAAGTATCAGGTTAAGTGAGAGTTATATGCTGAACAGTCAGTAGTTTAAAATAAACCAAGAAAGAAGAATATGCTGCAGATAGGAATATTTGATGCAACTTGGTGAATTCTGTATCTGGTACGTTAGTTCCCCAAGCCAGAGCTGAGATCACAGGTTTGTGCAAGGCAAAGAGCTCACTTGTTTTGCACTCATGCTATTAGATGACACATTCCAGCCTAGATTTCAAAGATCAGAGCGTGTCAGGGTCTTATCGTGAACCTGAGTGTTGTGCTTGTCTGGAATGCTTTCCATTTTCTAAAGCTTAGAGAAATCTCATTCAGCTAGGTAGCGCAGCTCTTCTAGTGCAGTGTGGTGTACAGTTTAGGGGCAAAATGAATGTATTTTGGTGTCTCAATTCTGCATTTGTACTTTTTGTGTTTAGTGATGTTTTGATTTTGTTGCCCTTCTGACATTTACTTCTTTGTAAGATGCTAATGATCTGTAACCAAGTTTACCTTTAGTGAAGCTTTGATGAAACATTTTTAAAAGCTCCTATTTTTTACTTTTATCTGTCCTCTAAACAATGCTTTGATTCCTTGATATTCAATAACATTCTAGATTTTTTTTTTTAAAAAAGCACTGTGTCCACTAACATTGTTCACTTCTCCTTTGTATCAAAACTTTGGGCAAGCCTTGCTTACATGTGAGCAACCAGTAGTGTCTTACTGCTGTAGGATGTCCCTCCATATCTCCAGCTCATACCTAGGTCCGGCCTACCTGTTGCATCTGCCTTCCTGTTGTGGATGTCCCTGGTAAACTAGTATGGCACAAGACACATGGCACGAGAGGCCTGGCGTTTCAGCAGGGCTTAGATTGTGTAGGGGGAAGTCTCTGTGGTTTGCTGATGCTGCTTGCAGGATTTTGATTGTGTTCTGTACAACAGAAGAGAGTGTCAGCTCTATATGTTAACTTGTTAATAAGTGTGTACTACTTGAACTCCAGTTTCATGGAGGTGCCTGAAAACCACAAACAGGCTATTGGTTTTTAAAGTATGTAGCATGGAAAAATGTATTAAAGGGCAACTGCATTCTAGCTTCGTTCTGGTTGTCCACTGAAGTTAGCCCTGAGTTTTATACGTCGGAGTACCAACCCAAGCATGCACTCTGAGCTCAGTTACTAAAAGCCTCCAATACAGTGTTCACACTAAACCTTTACAGTTTGAAATGGTTTGTTATAGTTGTTTGCCTGTACACAGCATGGGGAATAAACAGGAATAGCCCTGAGTTTTATACGTCGGAGTACCAACCCAAGCATGCACTCTGAGCTCAGTTACTAAAAGCCTCCAATACAGTGTTCACACTAAACCTTTACAGTTTGAAATGGTTTGTTATAGTTGTTTGCCTGTACACAGCATGGGGAATAAACAGGAAGAATTAGAGATCTGTGTGCGGAGCCATCATCTCATTGCAGTTACAGAGACGGGATGGGATAGCTCGCATGACTGGAATGCTGTCATGGATGACTATGTGCTTTTTAGGAAAGACAGGCCAGGAAGGCGAGGTGGTGGACTTGCTCTTTATGTGAGGAAGCTCTCACTTCCTCACAGAGCGTGAGGAAGAATGTATGGAGCTCTGCCTCGGGGTGGATGAAGAGCAGGTTGAGAGCCTACGGGTAAGGATTAAAGGGCGGCCTAACATGGGTGACACGGTTGTGGGGGGTTTACTACAGGCCACCTGATCAGGAAGAGGAAGTCGATGAGGCCTTCTACAGACAGCTGGAAGTAGCCTCACGATCACAGGCCCTGGTTCTCATGGGGGACTTCAACCACCCTGACATCTGCCGGGAAGAGAGCGCAGCTAGGCAGAAGTAGTCGAGGAGGTTCCTGCCGAGCATTGAGGATAACTTTTTGACACAGGTGGTGGAGACGCCAATGAGAGGTGTGCTGCTGGACCTTGTACTAACAAATAAAGAAGGTCTGGTCGGAGAGGTGAAGGTTGGGGGCAGCCTTGGCCGCAGTGACCACGAGATGGTGGAGTTCAGGATCCT